CTGTGGTTACACTTAGATATAAAAATTTAAATAAAGGTAAATGTTATAATTTTTAAAATTTTTACTCTCTTGAAATTATTCAACTGTAAAAGAGGGCTGATAGGTGAACAAGAAAGTGCTGGGAAATGTTCCCTTCCTGTTCAGTGCAGTTAACAAAGTTGTGCTTGGTAGTAAAACTTTATCTATATTAAGCTATTTAAACAAATGCCCATTGTATTAAAAGATGATGTGTGTGCTATCCTGCAAAATACCTCCAAAGTTGTAATTCCTAGGAGCCCATTTCTGCCAAGGAAAGCTGCACTGCAGACAATTTACTGTCAAGCTGACTCAGTACTCCCAAATGAAACAGCACAATTTTAAGCACAGTTCATCCACACTTAAACACATGTACAAAGATATTCACAGAAAAATTAGAGGAAACCCTCTGCATGTCATCTCATTGCCATCTTGCATCGTTCCCACTCATTACTGGTTATCAAAACTACAAGAAATCATACATCCATGTCACTGACACATGACTATGACTATTAAGAAGATGCAACTTTCCAGGGGATGAAATAGAGAAAAGTAACCTATCTACTCTTGACATCAAAGGCTTCTAGCAACAAAAAAAAAAGAAATTCTGCTAATGATAGAGAAATAAAATCACTGAGTGAAAAACATTATTAAAAATTCATGAAGTGACCACACAATAAAATAAGCTACCAAATAACCTATCTTTAATGCTTGGTTAGTAAAAAAAAAATCATCATCATCATCATCATCATCATCATCATCATCATATCATTATGACCATCTAGATGCTTATTCTAATAAAAGTAACACAAAATTACTAGTATCAAAACATCAGTAAGACTTAGCAATCTTACCCAATGCATTGTCAGTTTAAAAAAAAAAATAAGTTTTATCCTTCCTCCTGCAAACATGCAATTCATCCAGGATTAGTAATATCAAGACACAAGGAAAAAGATAAAATATTTTGAATATTCTAGTGCTATTTTCCAACCCTAAAATTATTTCTAACTAAGTAGACAACCTTGAGTAGAGCACAGTTACACATAGTGAAGAATAAATATTCTACCACTTCTAAGACTTTATGGCTCACTAAGCTTTCTATATGGCTGATCATCCTACTTGGAGTAAAACTTAAGCATTGAAATAACTAAACAATGCACTAAAGAAACTTTTTATTATATAGACCCAACAAAGTCACTATTTCCCACCAACACAGTTACCATTTAAATCGAACCAAATGAAATTTATTCTAAAATAGCTTTATGTTCCCATTTAGGGATGAAAACAGAAAAAGAACACATTAAAAATAAAAGTAGGATATTTATACAGTCATAGTTCTGATGAGTGTTAGGGGTCATTAAGTAATACAAGGCTGATGACCTTACTCTAGGTCAACTGCTAGATCCTACCAGAGGAGAAACAATTCCTGATTTAAGATAAATGATGTATAAGGGCTCCTCTCTCTGGAACTATTCAATTCTACTTAGTTAGGGAAATTTGAGTAATTTGTAACTTGGCTTAGAATGTGTTAAACTCAAGCATTTAGGCTACCAGTTTTCATTCCAATGATGTAATAAAATTTCTAAATAGTACTGGAGCAGTCTGAGGGAGTTAATGTTATTTAACAGGCTTTTAGGTTACTTACTATATGCCCAGCATTGTTCTAAGTGCTTTATAAATATTACTAATCGACAACATTTTCGGTATACTTAGGAATTAAGTTCTTAAATAATTTAATAATGATACACATGACATTTACCAGTGAACAAAATGAAACAATCACTATTTGCTTACTGAAGTTAAAATTATTCATTTCTAACAATTAGGACCACCCCACAATGGCCAGTTAATTCTCTTTACTGAAATCCTTGGATCGCCTTCTGGACAAATCAAACTCTTGAGTAAGTTAGGAAGATGTGCAGCTTCTATATCCTACTTTCCTCTTGTTGCCCTTAACTCTTTGCAACTAACAAAGGCAAATATGGACTATCTGGACTTCCACTTGTCTATGTCCTTGGCTGGCCTGCAATTAGATACACATATTTCCTTCTCTTAATAGGGCCAATTCCTAACTCATTCTCCAAAGACCACACAGCACCCACCCAAGTGAACCTACCTAGTCTGCTGCTCTTCAACAGACTGCTGTCTGTAATCTCCTCCAGCAAATCATACCTTAGGGTAAAAAGTAATTGCTTATTCACTGATTCATCTTCCCACTTTCCTGAGAACAGTTTAAAGGTTAGAATTGTCTTTTATCTCTAAACCCTTAGGGCATTTCATAAAAATTGCTACAAAGCACGTGCCACAGTAAATAAATACCTTCAAATAAATGAATCAATGCCAGGCTACTAAGGAGGCTGAGATCTGAGGATCTTGGTTCAAAGCCAGCTGGGACAGGAATGTCCATAAACCATTGGAAAATAAACCATTGGAAAATAAACCATTGGAACACCGGAAGTAGTGCTGTGGCTCAAGTTGTAGAGCACTCACTTTGAGCTGAAGAGCTGAGAGACAGCACCCAGGCCCAGAGTTCAAGCCCCATGACCAAAAATAAATAAATAATCAACAAATGAATATATATATATATATATATATATATATAGACACATATATGCTTTGTGAGCTCACAAAATAACATCATCCTGATTTTATTTCTGAAATACAAAATGAGTTGATAAAAATATCTTAAAGATACCCCAGGTATTATCTATTTAATTACCACAAAAATACCAAAGATCATATAAAATCAACATATGTTTTCAGGTCCTGACAGCTGTCAGTAAATCAGAAATGCCAAAAGGACATGGAAATTTAGTTTCCTAACCATAGGAGATGTAGGTTTCTGGTCGATAGGTTTTTACAATTTGAACTGCCAGATTCAGTTCCACTTGTCAATGATTTACAGAGCATGGTGAACTGCAATGACTTCTCAGGTGATGCATACAGAGATACACTAACTGTTCCTTATTATGTGCCAGGCAGTGGGATAGTTATTACTTTCATGACAACATAGCTTTGGAAGACACAATTTATACGTGCTCGGTAAACAAAACAGCCCTAATTACACCAAGAGGACCAAGGATGAAGCATGTGGGTGTTGGGGGGCACAACTAAGTGAGCAGAGAATTTCAAAGTTGATTTTGATTTTACAGTTTTTCTTTGGAGTATATAGTCATCTCTCCCTACTCTCCCCCTTTTTTTTCCTTACAGAGTAAATCTTGAGTTGCAAAGTTTTCTCTATCAGCTTTCAAACAATGGTGATGCAGACTCTTCCTAAACAACATTACTTCCAGTTCTGACTTGAATTAATGATCTACTCATGATGTTTACCTAAATGATACCTATTTGTAGAACAGCCAGAGTTTTTCATCTCAATTGTGTACTGTGTAGGAATTACAAGTTGCTCAGATCCAAGACGGCTAGATACATAAACATATAGACATATGCTTAGATACACAAATAGATGACAACAAAACTTTTCTGAAAACATTGGTTATTCAATAGTATTAAATAATTCTTATCTTTTTAAATATCATAATATCAGATTTACATTTTTAAGGAATCTTTACCTTTCAGAGGTGTATTACTAACATTTATTATGATTGAAATTATATAATTTGCTTAAAAATAATACAGGAAGGAAAAAAATATGTATAGACAAAGCAAAACTGACCATGAGTTACTACTGAAGCTTAGAGTTCCCTGCATTATTTTGTCTACTTTTGTGAGTGTTTGAAATTTTTTTACAATCAAAGATTGCAAATTGGTCTGAGAATATTCCTTCATAGAAATAATTCTAATTAATTTGAAAATAAGATAAGAAAATTGTGTTTCTCCATGGGAACAAGTCAAATGCAAAAGGCAAATAGGTCATCACCCAACATTAACTCAAATGATAGAGTCCTTCATTCAAAACTCAGAGTATGAGGTTGGCTACGACAATAATCTAACTTTGAGGGCCATTACAGTAGCTTTTAATTTCTACCTTACATGCGCAATTTTCCAGGAAACCATGTATTTGGCTAAATTACAGTTTATTTTTCTATTTTTATAGATCTTCCTCATGTAAATCAGTGCAACTATCACATCATTCGGGTATATCTGGATTGTGAATATGTTTATGCATGCATATATGTTCAATGTTTCTTTACTTCAGCAAATTTTATAAAAATTTTTCAGCTACATGAACTTCATATCATTCTCAGGTAGGTGGACTGGCAGGCTAATGCCTATAAATATATGGCTCCAAAAATATTTACTAACCAATAAGTTCAAAATAACGTTCAAGCATATCTATGGATATATTTTATTGATCTAACTACATATACAATAATAAACTAGCTTTGGAAGACACCATTTATACATGCTTAATAAACAAAACAGCCCTGATTACACCAAGAGGTCCAAGGATGAAGTGGTGGGGGGGGGGGTTGTCACTCTTGTAGGTACAACTCTGGTGTCCACAGATCTAAGTGAGCAGAGAATTTTAAAGTTGATTTTGATTTTACAGGTCTGAGTTTCTTTGGAATATATAATCATCTCCCCCCCGCCCCCATCGCTCCCTCTTTTTTTTTTTTCTTTCCTTACAGAATGAATCTTGAGTTGCAAAGTTTTCTCTATTAGGATTCAAACAACAACGGTGATGCAGACTCTTGCTAAATAACAATCTCCTCCCCAATGTGTGGTTTTCTCTTGCTACTCAGGTGAGGCTCTTCCCTTCCCCTCCCTTTCTTTAAGGTTAGAATGAGGCTGGAGGCTTCCTCACCAACTCCTCACAAGAAGGACCTTGGACCTTGGGCCTGTGCTCTAGGGGTTTTTTGTCTCCCCCTCACCCCTCCCCACCTCTCTTTTCCTTCTATTTTTTTGCACAGGGAGCGTCTATGCTCTTCTCACCCACTACACCTCGTCTCCAGGGCAACGCAGCAAATGTGAGGTCGCTGACGGCCGGGCTGCGCCGAGGACCCCTCCCCGCCCTGGCCTCTCACCTGCCGGCCGCCGGGGTCGCCCCGCACCCGCGTGTTGAGCACGTCGTGCCGAGTTTCGTCTTCGCCGCCCGAGCGGTAGAGGAGGCGCAGTGGCACGACGCTCTGGCGCCCCAGGAAACGGTTTTCGTTCCCTCTCTCCAGCTCTGTCGGCGAGGCGTCTCCTTCCAAGCAGGAAAGTGTGTGTGTGTGCGGGGGGGGGGGGGGGGTGCAGAGACAGAAGAGAAAAGCAAAAATAAGGATCCTGAATCACACTCTCCTCCATCCTGCGTTCCCATCTCCCCCAACCCTCCACCCCATGAAAATCCCGCCGCCTCCTCCCTCCCGGACCCCATCTGGAAAGGACATGAAGACACACCAGCTGGAAAGCCCTGGACCAGCTCATCCGAGAGCATCCACCATCGGGGCCCACAAACAGGGCACCCTTTCCCCCGCGTGGGGCGCAGGCCTCTGACTCCAGGCTTCAGATGCACCCGCGAACCCCCACACCTGAATTTTGGCTGCTTCTCAGCATCCTCCCCCCCCCCAAATCTCCCCCGCGCACTTGGGAAATAGAGGTGTCCCTTTCCAATGCGCCCAGGGTCTCCACAGACACCCCGAAAAGAGTAGTCTCCAAGCCGCACTGGGTGGATGAACTTACCTGGCCGGCCGCAGCGCGCCAGGGGGCAGGTCCCCAGGGCGCAGAGCAGCAAGAAGGGCACGGGTGCCGCGGCCGCTGCCTGCATGATGCTGCTGTCACCCGCCGTGCCTGGGCGCTCAGCTTCTCATGCTCCTCCGCTGCGTCCAGCTCCCGAAGCTCCCAGCCCGCCCGCTCCCGTCGCCGCCCCCCACCCCCTCCCAGCCCAGGCCGGTGCTGCAGCGGGCCCCAGGAGCTGCAGCCTGCACCGCCGCGGCGCTGCCTCAGTGCTGCATTGTGCTCCGCGGGCGCTTCCGCTGGCAGGGGGGCGGGGAGCGAGCGAGCGCTGCAGCATTGGGCGGTTGGTAGCTAACTGGTTTCTAGCGCCTCCCACCTCATCCTCGGGCAGAGGCTCCGGCGGGCGAAGAGCGCACGGCAGGGAGCGAGCACCCGGTGCATTCGCCTCCCCCTCCACACACACACCCCTCCCCGCCCTCGCACCGGCAGGGGCGCACGCAGGAACGTCAGCTGGGAAATGTAGTTCTCCCTTCTGCTGATCTTCCTTCACCAAAGCGCAGATCAGCTACATCCTGCAGACCAGAGGGAAGGAAGGAGGGAGAGCCCAAGGGAGAGCCGATTGGTGCAGAGATTACTGACTGTACCTTAGAGACAAGGAATTCATCCACATTGTTTTGCAAAAAGGGGGGGGGGACACAAACAAAAACAACAACAAACTTTAATGGTATCACAAGTTAGTGATTACTTAAGTGATGAGGGAAAGAACCAGTACCCTGACAATATGGTAAATGAGTCACTAAGTATGGATGGAGAAACCGAATGAATTACCTAGTGACTGACATCTGTAATCCTTCACTGAAAGTCACCTGCTCTCTGAGGTAGTTGACTAAGAAGGCCAATTTTTTAAAAACAATACAATGTGGCAAATGTCATAATTAGTTACATTGAGGCGATCCTTTAACCCAGTCCCCAAAAGTCAGGGAAAATCTCTTCCTGGAAAAGGTCTAGCAGGCACTTTTGAATTATGATTTAGGCCAATTTTCCAGTACCTGTTTTTTCTCAACTATCTGCCTATCTCAAATCTGCATTTGAAAACCAGACATAAGAAACAGCTTATTTCACTAGCTGTTTACTCCAAATCCAGAAGGATAAAATACTTTTAACGTACTGTTTAACACTTTTCTATTTTTCAAAGTTTACATGTATAGGCATTTGTTCCATAAAAACAAATTTGATCAGAGGAGAAGAGAAAAATCTAGGATTAGGATTTCTAGAATATCTTTCAAACACTGTAGCCATTAGCTATATGGGTCCATTTAAACTGAGATAACATTTTGAATTTAGTTTTAGTTACACCCACATTCAAGGTGCTCAACCTGTAGTGTGTGGCTACTATATTGGACAGTACATATGTCTAGTTTCCATCCTTGCAGAAAGTTCTATTGGATTTAATTCTGGCTTCAGAGTTTTAAGAAGTTGCATGAAGGTCACAGGCTAGGGCTAGTCATATAGTAGACAGGGATCTGGATTTATTTCTTGCACCTGTTTTTGTGTAACCTTCACCTTGGTCCTGGTTCCTTTTGAACATACAGAAGAATTTTCCATCTGATGGTCTTTGGGGATATTTCTTCCTTTCTAAAGGATATAGGGGTTGGTTTGTTGTTTTGAATCCTTGACTCATAACATGAATTCAAGTTTCTTTTCTATTGTGAGCTGAAAATATATTTGTTCCAGCTGAAGTATGTAATCTAGAATTAATTACTACTTAGACATGGTTTCACAAATAGTGCAAGGGAGTCTTTTTTCCCCTTGTCCTAAATTCTTGGAAAAGAAGACATTATGTCTTATGTTGGTAACTACATCTCATGGAGCTGGTTGTCATTTCAAAAGCTTTCTTAAAATCTTCAAGTCAATGAGACACTTGAAAATCCTGTATGACATGTAATTGTAATTTGAAAAAAAAAAACATTTTAACAGCATAGATTAGACATAAATGTAGCTTAGCCCATAAATACAGCAAAAGAAAATTTGAATCCAATGGTCTAGAAAAGTCCTCCACCTTCCTCTGCCATTATGGTCACAAATTTTATTCTGTGAGACAATGACAAAAAAAAAAAAAGACCAAAGACTGAAAAAACAAAAACAAAAAACCCCACCATTTACAAATTGCCTGTTAAAAAACTAGTGTCTTAGTGGGGGGTGCTGTGGGTCACATGTGCAATCCTACATACCGGTAATCCTATATACTCAGAAGGCTGAGATCTGAGCATAAAGGTTTAAAGCCAGCCAGGGCAGAAAAATCTGTGCGACTTTTACCTCCAATTAACCACAAAAAGTGGAAATGGAGCTGTGTCTCAAGTGGTAGAGTGATAGCTTTGAGTACAAAAGCTCAGGGACAGTACCCAGGTCCAGAGTTCAAGCCCCAGGAACCTCTTCTACCCCACCCCCCATACACCAAAGACTAGTATCTAAAACAAACAAAAAACGCTTAAAACTCAACCATCAGAAAACCAATCAAGCTAAAAATGGGCAGAAGACAGCTGTATGTGGTGACAAAAGTCTATAATCCCAAAGCTTGGAAGACCGAGGCAGGAGGAAAGTTTGAGGCCAGGAAGGCTCATCTAATGTCAAAAAGAAAAAAAAGCAATTGGAAGGCACCTCATCAAAGAGATATACAGCTAGCAAATAAGCATATGAAAAGACATTCAGAAAAGACATTAGGGAATGCAACTTAAAACAATGATAAGGTGTCATCCCACAACTATTTGAATTGTTAAAATTCAATATACCTACATCAGATTCTGGTGTTCAATTATACAAAGCAAGAGGAATCAAAACTTAGAGCCAGTAGGAATGTAAAATAATATAGCTCCTTAGGAGGACACTTGGGCAGTTTTTTTTACAGAACTAAACATGATCCCTAGAAATTCTTTCCTCAAATGTGTCAGGAACATTTTCATGGAGAAATGTCAGATTTAACTCTTTCTCCTTTTCTAATGTAAGCATTTAATACTATATATTTTAGCAAAATCTCATAAATTTTAACTAGTTTTCATTTGTTTTTGTTGCAGATTTTTCATTTTTCTGAAAGCTATTTGTCTTGGACCTATGCACTATTTCCAGTTAAGAATATATATGTTTTATTTATAAATTGCTGGGAAGTTTCCAAGAGTCTCTTAATGGTTTCACTGTTGCCTGAGAATGTATTATGTATGATTGCTACTCTTTAGAAAATTAGAGCTTTTCATTGTTCAGAATAAGTGTTTTGATGAATGTGATGCTAGATTTTAAGGGTGCCTGATTAAGGGGATTTTCCACAAGATAGCATGAAGATAATTACTGATTTGGGAGGAATCTACTGATATGACATCCTGATGAGGAGACTAGGATCTGGTGTAAACTTTCTGATAGGATTTTAGAGGTATATAAGAATTGATGGCTCGTGCTAAGTAAAATGAGATTGCCATAATTTCCATGGTACATGGCAAGAGGAAAAAAGTAGACATATGTGTTAGGTTTTTAAAAAGAGGTAGCCGAGTAAGAACAGCACCAGCACACACGTGGTATTCAGGTAAGGGGTAGGTTTATTCAGTAGACCTGCTGGGACCAGGCAAGGTTGGCACTCCACGTGGCTAGGAAAGGCCTGGGACTGAGAGAGAGCTGGGAAAGAGGAAAGAGCTAGAAAAGAGCAGAGAGAGCAGAGAGAGAGCAGAGAGCTAGAAAAGAGCAGAGAATAAACATAGTTGTGCTGGTAGCTTTAGTGTGGTCTTTTTTGTAAACATTAGGGTAAATGCCCAAAAGTGGGATTGCTGGGTCATAGGGGAGTTCTATGTGAAGTCTTTTGAGGAACCTCCATACTGCTTTCCAAAGTGGTTGAACAAGTTTACATTCCCACCAACAATGAAGTAAGGTTCCTTTCTGTCCACATCCCCTCCAGCATCTGTTGTTGTTAGAGTTCTTGTTTTTTGCTGTTCTAACTGGAGTGAGGTGATATCTCAATGTTGTTTTGATTTGTATTTCTTTTATGGCTAGGGATGTTGAACATTTCTTCATGTGTCTATTGGCCATCCTTCTTTCTTCTTCAGAGAAGCTTCTCTTTAAGTCTTTCGCCCACTTATTTATTGGGCAGTTGTTTCTTTGAGGATTTGTTATTGGGGGGTTTAATTTTTTGAGTTCCAAGTATATTTTAGATATGAGACCCTTGTCCGTTGTATGGCTAGTAAAGATCTTCTCCCAATCCGTGGGCTTTCTATTGATCTTGCTAGCTATGTCATTTGCCCTGCAGAAGCTCTGCAACCTTATGCAATCCCATTTGTCCAACCTTTCTTTGATTTGTTGTGTTTCCGTGTCTCTATTCAGAAAATTGTTTATTGCAGCATTATTTACCATAGCTAAGATATGGAACCAACCCAGATGCCCCTCAGTAGATGAATGGATCAAGAAAATGTGGTATATATACACAATGGAATTCTATGCCTCCATCAGAAAGAATGACATTTCCCCATTTGTTAGGAAATGGAAAGGCTTGGAAAAAATTATATTAAGTGAAGTAAGCCAGGCCCAAAGAAACATAGGTCCCATGGTTTCCCTTATTTGCAATATCTAGTATAGGTATGAGTCAAGCAGAAAAGGTCAGATAATGTGATGTTAGGAAAACGAACCCTTAAATATGTATTTTAATGTTTTTGTTTCTTTCATGCATGTGTTTCTAACGCATTTATAAGATTATTTCTTTGTTGCTTTGTATGTCCCTCCCCCACAGTGTAACCCCCGCTTTCACTATATTTGATGTCAGTATAACATGTGGAGGAGATGGGGAAAAACCAGTTGTTTAAGGATTCAGGTGGACCTGTTGCAACAATGTGAAGTACAAAATGTCATGTCAAAACCAGCTTTACAATGTCGGTGTGTGTGGGGGGAAGGGGGGTATGATTGGGTGGGGGGGAGGGGGGAGGCTGGGAAGGGAGGTGAAGGGTAAACAAAGGAGGAGGCTGCAATGCTTGGTAAGAAATGTATGCATTATCCTGCCCATGTAATTGTAACCCCTCTGTACGGTATGTTCTCAAATAAAATAAAATAAAATTTAAAAAAAATAAAAAAAAATAAAAAAGAGCAGAGAGAGCAAAGATGAACAGAGAGAGCTAGA